TCTTGCTCTTACTTGAGAACATGAGACTGCATTATTTAATGCTTATGTTTAGTCATTTTTTTAAATGAAGAATTCAATTTCTAAAGACAAAATGTAATTCAAGGAACTTCCCTGGTGGTCCAGCGGTAAAGAATCCGCCTTACAATGCAGGGAACATGGGTTCAATCCCTTGTCAGGGAACTAAGATCCCACATGCCCAGAGGCAACTAAGCCCATGTGCCACAACTACTGAGCTCTAGCACACCTCAACTAGAGCCCGCCTACCGCAAACTACAGAGCCCACAGTCTGGAACCCGCGCGCCACAACTACAGAGCTCATGCACCCAGGAGCCTGCGTGCCACAACTAGAGAAGAGAAAACCCGTGCACCGCAACCGAAAACCCGTGCACCACAACCAAGAGCGCGCGCACCTCAATGAAAGATTCCGCATGCTGCAAGGAAGATCCTGAGTGCCGCGACGAAGACCCGACGCAGCCAAAAATAAAATAAATAAATAAATAATAAATAAATCTTTTTAAAAAACGTAATTCAAGAAGTTTGATTAACTCAGAGATGATTTAGCCTATTTATTCCCATTTTCTAAATGATCAGATACTTTTTGAGGAAATGGAAGTAGAAATGCAGAGTCTTGGTCAAATTATCGATTTTTCTTGTCTGGGCTGGTGACTTTTCAACTCATTCTTTGAGGCCACTATTATCAAAATCAGACAAAGGTACCACAAGAAAACTACAGACCAATATCCCTTGTGAGTTACAGACACAAAATCTTCAATAAAATACTAGCAAACCAAATCCAGCGACATATTTTGAAAAGTTGCTGTGACCAAATAGGATTTATCCTAGGAATGCAAGATTAGTTTAACATACAAAAATCAATGTGGTACACCATATTAAGAGAATAAAGGACAAAACTCACACGATCATCTCAACAGATGCATTAGAAAAAGCATCTGACAAAACCTAACAACCTTTCATGATTTTAAAAAAACAAACAAACAAAAACACTCAACAAAGTAGGAACAGAAGAGAATTTCCTTAACCTCATGAAGGGCATTTGTGAAAAGCCCACAGTAAATAGCATAATAGTGAAAATCTGAATGCTTCCCCCCTAGGATCAGGAACAAGACAAAATGTCTACTCTTGCCACTTCTATTCAACATTGTACTGGATGTTTTAGGGCAGTTAGACAAGGAAAAAATAAAAAGCAACCAGATTGGAAGGGAGGAAGTAAACTGTCCCTATTTGCAGATGGTACGATCTTATATACAGAAAAGCCCAAGGAATCCACTAAAAACCATTCAAAATAATACATGATTCAGCAAGGCTGCAGACCACAAGATCGCTATACAAAACTCAATTGTATTTTGTGATATACAGAAATAGCAAATCACTATGTTGTGCACCAGGAACTAACATAGTGTTGTAGGTCAATTATACTTCAAAAAACACACAGAAAATTCATGGAAAAACAGATAAGATTTGTGGTTACCAGTGGTGGGGGGTTGGGGGGAGGGGGAATTGTAAGAAGGCGGTCGGAAGGTACAAACTTCCAGTTATAAGTACTAGAGATGTAATGTACAACATAATTAATATAATTAATACTGCTGTATATTATGTATGAAAGTTGTTAAGAGTATACATCCTGAGTTCTCATCACAAGGAAAAAGTATGTTTTCTTTTTCTTTTCTTTTGCAGCTATACGAGATACTGGATGTTCACTAAACTTATTGTGATAATCATTTCATGATGTACATAAGTCAAAGCATTATGCTGTACACCTTAAACTTATACAGTGCTATATGTCAATTACATCTCAATAAAACTGGGAGAAAAAACAAAATAAATTTTAAAAAATGAAAAAAATCGATTCTATTTTGCAGTCTCCATATTACTATGTTTTTTCAGTGTGATAACATAGATTTGTAAAATCTACAAGCATGCAAACATCACTTTCCATATACATTCAAAGGTCTTCAAATTGACCTCTACCTAATAGATTCTTAGGAGTAACTGCATTTCTTCATTCTCTTCACAAACCAAGCTGAATGCTCAAGCGGCTCCCTACACATCTGTGCATTTTTGCTGTCACCAGTTGAATTATATGTGATCGAATTTAATCCCAAACCAGTTTATGCAAATTTTGTGGATTATTGAAGTTACATAATTTAAATGTCCCATAAAACTATGAAGTATGAGTGCAAAAGGCATAGAATGCTTATATCTATGACGACTAAGTTATATGCTTTAGAAAGGCACTAAAGATGCGTCACTAAAAATTTCCATTGAATTATGTGTGGTTGATACAACTTTAAAAGATTCAAAAAATAAAATAAAAATAAAAAATGATTGTTCCCTCCCTCCTCCAAAAATCTATTCTATTTCTATACACTGATTACGAATAATCTGAAAATATTTAAAATAACAATTCCATTTAAATAGCATCAAATGGAATAAAATATTTAGGAATAAAATTAATAAAAAGGGCAAGACATGAATACTGGAAACTATAAAAGTCATAAAAATTAAAGAAGGCCTAAATAAATGGAAAGACATCCCATATCCATGGATTGGATGACTTACTAGTGTTAAGATGGCAATACTCCCTAAATTGGTGTACAGATTCAACACAATTCCTATCAAAATCCCAGATGCTTTCTTTTTTTGGCAGAAATTGACAAACTAATCCTAAAGATCATATGGAAATGCAAGGGACCCAGAATGGCCACATCAATCTTGACAAGGAACAAAGTCGGAGGACTTACACTTCCTGATTTCAAAACTTATCACGAAGCTACACTAATCAAGCCAGTGTGGTACTGACATAAGGCTAGACATACAGATCAATGGAATTGAATTGAGACTACAGAAATAAATCCTCATATTTAAAGTCAATTGAGTTTCAACAAGGGAGTCAAGGCAATGTGATGGGGAAAGAAAACTCTTTCCAATAAATGGTGCTGGGACACCTGGATATCCACATACAAAAGAATAGAGCTGTCAATCCCTGGTGGGGGAACTAAGACCCCACAAGCTGCGTGGCACCGCCAAAACAAAACAAAACAAAAAAACAAAAGAATAGAGTTGGACACCTACCTAACACCGTACATAAAAATGTATTCACGACGATCATAGACCTAAAAGTAAGAGTTAAAACTTTAAAAGTCTAAGAAGAAAAGAGGAATAAATATTCATGATCTTGAGTTAGGCAATGGTTTCTCAGACACGATACCAAAAGCACAAGCAACAAAGGGAGAAACAGATACCTTGGACTTAATCAAAATTTAAAAGTTTTATGCTGCAAATGATACCAATAAAAAGTGAAAAGTCAATACATAAAATGGGAGGAAACATTTTCTTATATCTGATGAGGAATTTCTATCCAGAATATATAAAGAACTCTTCCAACTCAATAATAAAAAGACAACTAATCCACTTTTAAGAGGCCAAAGGAGATGAATAGACATTTCTCCAAATTGCCAATAAGTACATTAAAAGATGCTCTATATCTCTAGCCATTAGGGAAATGCAAGTCAAAACCATAATAAGACATCACTTCACAACTACCAGGATATCATTGTAAAAAAACAAAAATAAAAACACACAAATAAGAGTAGACAAAGACGTGGAGAAATCCAACCCCACCACATTGCTGTTGGAAATGTAAAATGGTATAGCCGCTTTTAAATACTGTGTGGCAATTTCTCAAAACAGTAAACATCACATGATTCAACCATGCCACCTGCATACCCAAGAGAAATGAAGACTTAAAATCCATACAAAAACTTGTATACAAATGTTCATAGCAGCATTTTTCACAACAGCCAAAGAGTGGAAACAACCCTGATGTCAATTAACTGATGGAGAGATAAAATGCAATATATCCAAACAATAGATTCATCAGCAACAAAAAGGAACCAAGGACAGTTGACCCTTCAACCACGACCCTCTGTGAAGTCAGAAATCCACGCATAATTTTCCAGTTGGCCCTTCATATCCGCGGTTCCCCATCTGCAGATTTAGCCAATTGCAGATCATGTAGTACACATAGTACATGTGTAAGTTCAAACCCCTGTTGCTCAAGCGTCAAGTGTGCTGATGCCTGCTACAGTGTGGGTGAACCTTGAGAGTATTAGGCTAAGTGAACGAAGCCAGTCACAAAAGACTACGTACTTATGCTTCCATTTACGCGAAATGTCTAGGATAGATTAGTAGCTGACAAAAGCCAAAGGGATGGGAGGAGTATGATACTCACTGCTAATGAGTACAGGATTTGGGGTGATGAAAATTTTCCATAATCAGACTGTAGTGTTCCACAACTCTGGGAAAAACCATCTTATTTGAAATGGAGGAATCACTTTACGGTATGTGAATAATACCTCAACAAAGCTTTTTAACAAAAGAAGTATTTGGAGTGGTGATGGCTGTACAAGGATGTCAACGATGCCACTGAACTATATGGCTAAAATGGTAAATTTTATATTATATATATTTTACCACAATAAAAAATGTTTAGAAATACTAATTTAAATAAATTATTTGGGCGCGTGTGAGTCTTAGCAGGACTCTTCTGTTAATCACTTGCTTTTGACAAGTAAAGCAACTGTGTTTACGTCTGGAAAGCGTGACCGCCAAAATGATTAATTTGGGGGACTTCGTCTGGGGGTAAAAGGGGACGAGCCCTTCCTCAGCGATGCCATCCTCTCCGTCCAGCCCGGGGTCCCGGCGGGCCGGTCCGTCCACCCCGGGCCCCGGTGGCACCATAGGAGCTCAGACTCCGATGTACCAACCGGAGAGGCAGCAGGTCTGGACCAGCCCTACCCAGCCGAACCGCCTCCGAGCCTCTCACTATAAGGACCTCCCAGCCACTCCCGTCACTGCGGCGCCCAGTCAGCCCCCAGGCCCCTGCCCGGGGGCGCGCGCACGCACTCGCCGGCGCGCACGCACTGCGGGCGTGCGTACACGCCCGGAAGGAACGCTGAGCCGCAGGGCCCAGTGTGCGTACCGGGCCGGGCGCCGGAGCGGGTGGCGAGGGAGGCGTGGGTGTACGACCCCAAGGGTCCCTTCGCCCTGGGTTCTGGGCCGCGGGGCGGAGGCGATCCGTTGGTGGGGTCGGTCGGGGTCTGGGGACGAGGTGGACGCGGGCCTGGCCTTCCCGGCAGCGCACCGACTGCCCCGCGGGGTGAGGCTCCGTGGGGTGGGGGCCCCGCGGGGTGAGGCTCCGTGGGGTGGGGGCCCCGTGGGTGCGCCGCGCTGGAGCTGGGAGGAGCTGGCCGGTGGTTCCCTCCCGCAGACCCGTCGGCCCCAAGATGTCGTACATGCTCCCGCACCTGCACAATGGCTGGCAAGTGGATCAGGCCATCCTCTCGGAAGAAGACCGCGTGGTCGTCATTCGGTTTGGACACGACTGGGACCCTACTTGTATGAAGATGGACGAGGTTCTGTACAGCATAGCTGAAAAGGTAACGCAGCCCCGCCTCACAACGCGTCCCGCCTTCCGTTTGGTCATTTCATCGTGTTGGATTGCTTTGCCGGTAAGATTTAAGAAGAACCTAGGGGTAAGACAGGAATAAAGACACAGACCTACTAGAGAATGGACTTGAGGATATGGGGAGGGGGAAGGGTAAGCTGTGACAAAGCGAGAGAGTGGCCTGTACATATATACACTACCAAACGTAAAACAGATCGCTAGTGGGGAGCAGCCGCATAGCACAAGGAGATCAGCTCTGTGCTTTGTGACCACCTAGAGGGGTGGGATAGGGAGGGTGGGAGGGAGGGAGACGCAAGAGGGAAGAGATATGGGAACCTATGTATATGTATAACTGATTCACTTTGTTATAAAGCAGAAACTAACACACCATTGTAAAGCAATTATACTCCAATAAAAAAAAGAATAAATGTAAAAACTAAAAAAAAAAAAAAAAGTGTGGCACGTTCACCGGCGAAAGAGAAGCAGTAGGATTCACAAACGGACAGTCTTCCCTTGGGATGTGAGGATGGGCTCCCTGAAATTGGTCAGAATAGCTTATGTTCTTTTCTGGGAGAATTTTCCATATATTTTCAAATTTTTAAGAAGTTCATGATCTCTCCCCCCTAAAGAAGTTCATAATTCCTATTAACTTACAGGGGTTTTAACTGAGAGGGTGTTTTCAAAACTTTTCATCTGTAGTGCCCAGAGCAAAACACATTTGCAGACTGGCAGGAGCTTAGGAGCTTACTTTGAATAGCTTAGTTTAAAAGGATTGTCCTTTTTTCGGTACCATGTTTATTTGTTGCGTTTATGAAGCAGAACATTTATGTTGATAGCATAGTAAATCCTGTTCTTTTTCTTGGGGTCGGTTCTTTACCCCACCGGTGCTCTTAAGTGACTTGATTTATAGCTTAGAGTGACTCAGGTGCAGGAAACAGTGGGAGAAACTAGAACTATACTTGTTAGAGCTAATTTTCCTAATTCTTAAATGCAGTACACTGGATTGTCTGTAGCCTTTGTTTGCTGACAGTAAAGTGCAATTGTAGGGCGCTGTTGAATAACCAGGGCTTAATTCTTTTTCTATAATTGTCTCATAGGGATTCTAAGATAACTTTGATTTAGATTTTTGCAGGTGTAGCAATAGGGCAAAAGGCAAAAGGATGCTAATAAAATATTTAACTTATTAATATTCCATAATAATTTGAGAGGTTGTTCATTTTAATGAAGAGCAAAAGTAAGAAACACTGAAGCCATCTTTCACAGGAGTAGGATATGCTAATATGGGCTGAGTTAAAATAACGCCTTTGAGTAAAGAGTAACAGGTGTAAGGATATATTTTGTATTTAGGAAAGGAAAAATGATCTGACCTGCCATCGGTAATTTCCACTGTCTCCTATTTGGTGGGACAGGCAGAGTTGGGGGAGGTGGCCTTGTGAATATTAGGGACCATCCTTCTGTGTCTGTCAGCGTAAGTATCGCTTGGGATACCAAAGTGCATCTCAGAGGTCCTGATTCTACAGGTCTGCGGCGAGGTCCAGAAACGGCTTTTTAAAGAAGCTCCCCAGGGAATTCTGACTTGACTTTCAGAATCCCCTCAACGAGGTCAGGGTCAGAGTAGGAGTGCTGTGATTATAGCCGTTCCCCTGTTCTTCCTCTTGGGCGCCTAGACATTGAGGGAGCTTGAGGAGGTGCCTGGGGAACTCAGGAGAGCAGGGTTCTCCCCCGGGGGTCCTCCCAGTCCCGTCAGAGGTCAAGAGTGAGGTGGTGTCGGGGACTCGTGTCTGCATGGCTTAAGCTACAGTAGTCAAGGGCAGAGACTGCAGGCTTCAGTGAAGAAGGGCAAAGACACTGTTCAGTAAGCGAATCACTGCTGTGTTGACTCTGAGGTAACTTAGGTGTGTGTTCTGGATTCTGCCTTGCAGGTAGCACCAGGGCATGTCCAGACCCGGTTGCCCCCAGCACGAGGCTAGGATGGCAGAGGCGTGAGGGTTGTTTGCTCTTCGTATCTGAGCAAAACTCAGCAAGATACTCTTAGCTAGGAGGCAGATTTTGTGTCAGCCTAAGTTTTTAGGGAGTTTTACCAGAACTGTTCCTTTCTAATCCCTATATACCAGTCAGAGAGCAAATCGCTGTAGTACTAGCAGACGTGCTCTTTTGGTACAGTTTAACTGGGCTCACTTTGAGTGCTTTTCTTTGGTCTTTTAAGTTCTTCCATTTCTTTTGTCCAAAACTTGGATTTCTATTTTAATAAACTTTCAATACTATATTACAGTATAGTTATTCAGAATGCAAGCTTGAAATGCATTACAAGACTATTAATGTTTTATTTTCTACTTAGTATAAGGGCAGAATATGAGTTTATAATTCTGGAAGCCCTTTCTGGGGAAGCACAATAGGAATTTTTGAAATTTAAGGTTTTAGTATAAAGAACAATTTAACTGTCTATCTCCCTCTGCAGAAACGGCAGATAATGGGGGATCTTCCTCATCTTGTTGCGAGCCCTGTTTGGATACCCCAGCTGTGTTAAAGTGAGTAAGAGTCCCAGTGCTGAGGCTGGACTTGACCGCTCTGTCCCTCCTGGAACGGGACTCACCGACTCGCTGCTTGGTAGCTCCAGCCCCGCCGCATGCTGCGCTCGTTTTGAGCTGTACGGAAAACGTAGAGATATGTTTAAAGATTTGACAGATGCCTGGAGTTTGGTAGAGTGATAACCAAAATAAAGGTTCCTGTTGAGTGGGTGATTTTACGCACAGCTTCGAAGCGAGACTACTTTGTGTACTTCTGAGCTGTCTTGCCATTTTGTAGGAACGCACTTTGCCACAGCTCACTGTTTCTAAATCCCATTATATGTAAGAATAAGTGGGATGTTTAATTTTGGTCTGTTTAAAAAGCTCATACAGATAGAGTTTAAAATATGCAAAACCTCAGTGATACTATCTCATAGCCATAAGTGCTAATTAGATTGTACATAAGGTAAATGTATTCATGGAACTACTTAGGAATGACTTCAGGGGGTCATTCTTAAGCATGAAATAAAGTAGGTTGAATCAGCAGAAATTTATGCTCAAATGAGGAATGTCATAGGAACCAACAGCCAATCAGGGCAAACAGTAATTTGAGAAAATGAAGTTATCATGCAGTTTTTTGATGGCTTTGAAGTGAACTATCTAAAAATGTAAAAATTGACACTTCAAAAATACATAGTGCCAATTGACAGTCAAGAACATTTTTTCCAGAATCTTAGGTGGGTTCTTAGCTAGTGGAGGAGCTCTGTACAGAAGGGTGGAAGCGTGGCTGGCAGCACCGACGGCCTTCCGCCTTGGTGACTTGCACGAGTTACATTAACCTGGAGGCACCTGGCAGCATGCAGGACCACTGAACTGCATAATCACTGACTTGCTGAAGAAGCAGCCTGCTTGTAAAATGTGTGGCAGCAGGGTTGGAAAGGACAGTTACTAGTTTAGACAATCAAAAGAACGTATACTAGAAAACAACTTGATAACAGAAGGGAAATTTGTACATCTGGTTCTTGATTTAAAAAAAAAACACTGTTCAACAGGTGCTTAACATTACTGCAAATCCAGTGGGCAAAATACTGTAGACACTGTAGCCTCTGCAGGCCAGCTTCAAGTACCATTTAAAAAGGTAAGACCCCTGTGGATAAATGGCACAGAACTGGAAAAAAAGAGGAAATTCCAACGGTTAAATAAACTCCAAAGAAGCACACGTTAAAATAGTGTACTGTCATTTTTCAGGTGTATCAAAGGTCTAACTCTTAGGGCGTACGTTGAAAGCAGATCTAACACTCAGGCAGAAGTGAAGCTGGTACCGCCCCTGGGAAGCAGCTCGGCATTGGGTGAAGAGCCCTAAAGACAGCCGTGCCTTAGGCTCCCTGAGACTGTTGCTGTGATTGATAGCAAAACTGGAAAGAACCGTGATGCCCAGTGAAGGGGGAGCATGCTTATGACCATAATCTCCAGTGTGTGGCACGTAGGCCCGTCACGGTGATAGGTGGGAAATGGACTCCCGGCGTGGTCCTCACGGCAGCTCCCCGAGGCAGGTGCCACGAAGTAGTTTGTCCGGGCTCAGAAATGGGGCATTAGGATTTAAAGTGGAGCATCTTCTCCCCTGGATGGGATATTATTTGACCATTAAAAATGATTTCCTAAGAGCTTTATTTAGTAACGTGGGGAAACATTGGTTAATGACATTAGCTGGAGAAAAGCAGAATGTATGCAGTTTTCTCACAAGAGAACATGTGGGTCTGGGGAAAGGGAAACATTTACTTTTCATTTTAAAACACTTATATACTATTGATTTTATTTGACTGTCATATACTTTTTTTTTTTTGGCCGGGCTGCGTGGCTGTGTGATGTTAGTTCCCCAACCAGGGATTGAACTCGGGCCCTGGCAGTGAAAGCACCAAGTCCTAACCACTGGGCCGCCAGGGAATTTCCTGATTGTCGTGTACTTTTAAATTATATAACTTGTTTTAAAAATACTGGGCTGGAAACAAAGCAGTGATGTTTCCATTCCATTTCTATGTTTTCAAAATGGACATTTTTTAAACGGAGAAAAGATCATAGACACCTAGCTTATCTCAGTTTTATATAAAAAATACACAAGGGTTATAGTTAATTGCAGATTCATTAATGGATGTGAAACATTCAGGAGAAATAGTTCAGCTCTTGTAGAAAGCATCATGATAGAATCCGCGCAACCCCCTTTAGGACAAGCTCTTCCAGAGGAGAGAAGCTGGGAGGGTCACAGAATTAGAGAAAGGCCAGCTGGTGCTGTGGGCCTTTTCCTCCCAGAGCTGCAGGAGCTGGAGGACCCGTCAGGGCACCTCCTCTAAGGACGAACCGGGACCAGACCATCTCTTAATGCAGGTCTGTTTGAACTCAGGATTAGGTAATTAAGTCCATAATGACAATAATATATTTCCTGAATTTTGAAATATAGGTTTATTTCTGAAGTTCATTCTTTAATAAATATCGCAGGTGTGGTTCCCGACCTTGTGAGGCGTCACGTTTACCATGATGTGGTTTATGTGGAGGGAAGAGAAAATGAAATCCTGTCGTGTCAGTTGTTTTTTGCTTCTGAATGAGCTACGGTTTTCTTACTCATCACTGAAGGCGAAAGATAATAAGGCCTGTTTAGAAAGTCTCACATAAAAACCAGTGTTTACAGTGTGAAAATTATAGACATTGAGTTGGGATAGTTGAATGTCTTCATACGTGAACTAGTTGTGATATATTCTAGTAACTTTTAAGAAAATGTGGTTTCTCCGGTCGATTTCTGCTTTAACTTGGGAGATTTGGAGGTTCTAGGAAGCAGAACCCATTGGCTTCCGTTGGATTGAAAGGTGTCTGGGACTCTTGTTGGATTGTCATTTTATGCTTTAGGAGGCAGATGTGTGTGTGTGTGTTTGTGTTTGGTTATACTGTGATGTTAGTATCTATCTTTTTAATTATAATATCTGTTTTATATATATATATAATATCTGTTTTATTATGTGGGAAGAAATAAAATATGTCTGCTTAGTGAAATTGGATGTGGGCAGAACCTTAAACACCAGCGGGGTAACTTTTGCAGGAAGCAGTTCCGCCAGCGCGTGGCTGGCCTTGCCCAGTCCTCCACCTCAGTGTCCACTGTGGCCACGTGAGCACGTGGTGCTCAGCTCACCCTCCACCTTCTGCAGGTGTGTTCTCTCCTTTCACCAGGAAAGGGGCATGTGGCTGGGAGAGACACCTGTTCTTCCCCTCCCTCAGCACCGAGGTCTGTCCTCAAAAGGAGTGCCCACTAAATGTAAACTTCCTTCCCTCCTTTTTCTGGGTGATGGTAGTTTAAATTTCCATATTAAACACTTCTTCATATTCCCAAGTAAAGGGGAGAGAACAGTGAATTCCTCTGTACCTGCTGCAATCACCAATACTTGGTCAGTCTTGTACACTTTCCGTGCTGCAGTATTGAAAGCAAATCCCAAACGCCGCATTGTTTCATCTGTAAGTTACACTTAGGCTTTTAGAGTTAGTTCTATATGAAGAAGCGTTGTGCATTTTCTATGAATTTCCGGGGGCTGCTGTAGCAAAGCGCCACAAACCGGGCAGATTAAAACAACAGAAATTTATTACCTCACATCCTGGAGCTCAGAAGTCCGAAATCAAGGTGTCAGCAGGGCCGTGCTCCCTCTGAAACCCTCAAGGGAGAACCCCCTCTTGTTTCTTCCAACTCCTGACGTCTTCCGCGATCTGTGGCACTCCTTGGCTTATAGGTGTGCGTCACTCCAATCCTCCGTGTTCATGTGGCTTCTCCCTTGGTGTGTTTTCACATGGCCCTTTTCCTATAGGAACACCAGTCAGATTGGATTAGGGGTCAGACTCCAGTATGACCTCGTTTGACCTTCACTGATGAGCTCTGCAGGCACCCTTTTTCCAGATCAGGTCACATTCTGAGTACTGGGGGTCAGGACTTCAGTATATCTTCTTGTGGGGTGAAAGGACATAATTCAACCCATGATATAAATCGGTATAAGCTTTCTAAAAGGCGTTGAGACCGTATTTACAAGGAGCCTTTAAAATGTCATGTCTTTTGTTCTAAAGATTCTATTTTAGGTGTTTATCCTTAGGAAATGATGAAGTATGTATATGAATTTAAGGGTAATAATGTGCACATGTGAATAATTGATATCAATGAAAATGTGAATTATTTATATTCATGAAAAGTCAAAGAAAATAACAAAAGAATGGTAAAAATAATGGCATAGCCACTTGGTGAACTGTTATGTAGCCATAAAGTTTTGTTTTTCTCTTATGTAAAGTATACGATTCATATAAGAGGATGCTCATAATTAAAGCCGGATGCAAAATCTTGTAGTATGACCACTCTATGATCACATTTGTTAAAAGAGTGTAAACATACATACCAGAAAAAATGGGGAAGGATATAGTGAAAGTGTATTCTCAGCAGTCAGCTCTGCGTGTCGGGGTTGAAGGTTGTTTTATTTATGGTTTTCTGGGTTTTCCAGATGTTCTCTGATGAGCTTGCAGCTGTGGAAGAAATTAAAGAACCTTAGTTACCTGCAGTGTGACTTGGGGTGTTAGGCCGTTAGTATGTGCAAGTGTCCAGACCTCAGTAAGAGGGGAGTGTGTGGCTGAATTCCAAAGTCATGTTTTAAAGCAGTTGTTTAATGCGTGTAATTCAGTATTTGTGAAAGTCCAAATTGGAAAAGTTCATGTAGATTATTAATAGATCAGCGTGAATAATGTATCTGTGGACGTCTTCTGCAGGATTCTCATAACTTGCTGTTCTGAAAAACATTAAACGAGATGTTAATGGACAGTTGCTCAGGACCCTGATCCTCTTGAAGTAATTTCCTACATGGCAGCTCTACTGGGAAAAAATGTTGCAGAGTCAGTTTGAAGATTGTCCTGTTATACACAAATTCTTCTGTTTTTGTTTTTGAATGTGCTTTTACAGAATAAAAAGTTGATTTGTTATTTTAGTTTTTTTCCCCCAATCTCCTTTACTTTTAGGTTAAAAATTTCGCAGTTATTTATCTTGTGGATATTACAGAAGTACCTGACTTCAACAAAATGTATGAGTTATACGATCCGTGCACTGTCATGTTTTTCTTCAGGTATGTTCTCTTATCTTAAAGTTGTTGTTTAAATTGAATAGATGGTCTGGAAGTTTAATGAGATCAAGAAATCTTTAGATTCTTTTATTTAGGAGGAAATCAGTTATGCAGTCATATTATAATATAGTTTGTATCACCAGGCAATCAATCTTTTAAATAATTTTCAAAGTAACAATTCCAGTTTTAGCATTTACTCAGTAACAAATTGCCGTTTTGAAATAACTGCCCAGGAACCTAGGGGAAGTGTTATTAAATGGAAGACATTCTTACTGAAATTTAAGATACCTTTAAATTTAATCTGTTGATGAAAAATGTCTTTAAAATAACTCACTTTTTAAATGTATCAGTGACTCTATTTAGCATCCTTTTGTGATATCCAAGAGGAAAACCTGTACTTAATTACTTTGCTTATAAATACAGAATCTTGTAAAAAATCTTTTATCAGCTGAAAAATTCTATTGTGTACCCTAGTCAGTCAGTCATGGGCTCAAGGAATAGACTTTCTCTAATCACCTTAAATTAATTTGTACCCATGATTGGCAGGCTTTGCATGAAAGGAAAATGCAGAGTTAGGTACACAAGAGTCTGATGCAGACGCAAATACCTTTGATGGTATTTATATAATAAAGTTAAGTAACATCATGAGTGAAAAAAAAATTCTGTTGTGGAGGTTTAATTTGGAAAGAAATCACCATTTTTAAAAAAAAAAAATCACTGTTTTTACTTGTCAAAATTTCGTACTGTTTATTGTTACTACAAAAGTTAGTAAGTAGCAATATAAACATTAGGCCGTACTGCAGAAGCAGAGCTCCCTAATGGTCGAGGAAGGTCTGGGTGGAGTGTGCAGGGTGTGTATTCGGTTTCTATTTTCTGTAACAAACTTGGTGGCTGAAAACAACACCATTTATGAGCTCAAGGTCTGCAGGGCGGAGTCCAGGCAGGCTCAGTGGGTTCTGCCTCGGGGTCTCACAAGGCCAGAGTCACGGGCTGGGCTGTCATGTAGGCAGTTGGTCAGGGAAGAATCCACTTGGCTCACCGGGGCTGTGGGCTGGATCCATCTCCCGGTGATTGGGGGTCTGAGGTCTCTTTCCGCCAGGGCCGCTCTCTGCCTCTAGAGGCCCCTCTGTCTTCGAAGCCCTGAGCAGTGAGTTGAGTCCTTTTCGTACAGCTGCTCCAACTTCCTGTTCTGCTTTCAGAGGGCGCTTGTGATTGGATTAGACTCACCCAGTAATCCAGGAGAGTCTCCTTATTTTCAAATGAACTGAGGAGTAACCTCAGGGACATCTGCAGAATTCCCTTTGCAGTGTAGTGTAACTGATCAGAGGCATGGTGTCCCATCATAGCACCGTCCCAGGGATTAGGGCGGGAAGTAGCAGGGGTTATTTTAGCATTTTGCCTACTGCAGCCTGCCCTCCGACTCCCAAAGATTCATATCCCTCCCATGTGCAAAACTGGGTGTGGATGAGGCTTCCCAGGTGACCCATTAAGCACAGCTCCTGGACACAGCTCCGTATCTGTGGCCCCCTCTCCAGGACGCAGTGTGGGACAGGCACAAGAAGCGATTTGGGTTCACCGTGGGGCGTCAGGGTTCGGAAGGGGGCTCTGATGCGGCACTGGGACCATAGTCCTGGCCCAGTGCCTCCCCCTGGGAGGGTTCTACCCAGTTTTTCCTGCCTTTTTTATGAAAGCCATTTGCAGCTGGTTCATTTTTCAACCTGCTTCCTGCCAGCAGCATTTTGGGGTTGCATCAGCCCCTCTCACTGCGTGCTCTGTCCCTCTTAGCCTGAGCCAGTCAGGTTTCTGTCCTGGGCACCGGGGCTGCCCTCTGTCCGATGGCTGCTTCCTGGGGGAAGATCCTGTCCTGTGACTGAACCGTCTGACTTTTAGGTCTTTACTAGGTTTCAGCAGAAGGTGGTGTGGCCTCTGTGTCAACAGCTCAGCAGCCATTTCTGGATTTCAGCATCTTTTGCTATCTGGAGAGGCTGAGAAATCTTTTGGGTTAACGGATCTTACTCTGGTTTGTCTCCCTCCTTTTACTATAAGCAGTACGAACCCAGGCAGCGCCTTCAAGACTTTGCTTACGTGTCCTCGGCTGGTATCCATGCTCATCACTTTGGAGCGTCACAGACATTCTGCCGCTGTGCAGCAAGGATCCCTTTCCTCCACTCCCCGAAATGCATCCCCATCTTCTTCCAAGCCACGTTTCCACTAACAGTCTGTTTAAGGCAATCTCGGCCTTTCCTGCCATGCTTCTCACGTTTTCCCAGAGCCCTCCAGGTGGGCCGTGGGCACTGCACTATGTAGGGCCCACCTGGGCGGGGCTGCCCTGACGGGGAAGGAGGTTGCAGAAAGGAGTCGAGTGGCGCTGCGGCCACCGTGTGTTTTGATGGTTTGGGACTGATGCTGCACTTGGAAAAGGGGACAAAACCTACTGTTTCTGTGACCCGGGATTCCAGGATTCTAAGACAAGTAGTAACAGTATTTTAATTTATTCACCAAGTATATATACGTATAGAGTCCTGCTGGCTTTTATGTCTAGTGCTGGGACATTCAGTCAGATAAGACAGGCTTCCTCCTATCACAGACCGTCATCTGATGGCAACAGCTGAGTAAATTAGCACGGGGAACCAGGGAGATGCAAGGGGACAGATGATAAAGGGGTTCCCAGGCCCAGTTGCAGCGTGTGCGCGTGTGCGCGTGTGTGCAGGCTTCCCTACGCCAACAGGCGATTCTTGCGCACCCTGCTGGTGGGATCTAGAAGTCACCTTCATTAGCAAACTCACTGTGACAGAAAGGGTGCTTATGCACCCGTTTCACCTTTATGGCCCTAAAGTGTCTTCAGGAACGGAGGACTAGAGTCCAAATATCCCATCACTCTTGTTGCTGGAAATTCCGAAGGTTTTGCAGCTGTGAGCCAGGATCTGTGGGTGAAGACCAAATGCATATGAGAAATATATTCTTCTGAGTGACCAAGTATATATTTTTCCTATAAATCACAGTATTGCAACAGGTGTTTACAGAGGCACAAACACTGAGCGCAGCAGGGCGATGGGGAGTGCCCAAAGGCTGCTGGGTAAGGTTGGCATGAGCCACGTGCATCACAACGGGCGAGCGCAGGCAGGGGCACAGGGCAGCGCAGGCCGCACGTTTGGGGACCTGCGGGGATGAGGGAGGACGGACAGGTGAGGGCTGGGGAGTGGCGGGTGCTCAGGGGAGAGCGTGGCGGGGCCCAGATGCCCGGTTTCCTGGGCCAGTGTGTGGACTTGGAAGGTTCCTGGAAGTGAGTGTTTGCAGCAAGAGAGAAGCATCAGGTCTGCCTTTTGGAAGCTCGCCCTGGCTGAAAGGAGGCCACGCTGTGACCTCAGGATGGATGGGGCACGCACCGTGGAACAGCAGCCGGGGGCCAGACACACAACCTTGCAGAAACAGGAAGCTAAACTGATAAAAGTCAGTGCAGCTGGTGCAAGAAGCGTTAATATCTTTCTTTTATGCATTGCCCGTATAACTTCATTTCAGAAAGAAGCGTCTTGAAAGGTCAGTCTACGAAGAATTATAGAAATGCAAAATATCATTTATTTCACAGTTAGTATGGCTTTCAATAAAATTTACACCAAGTGCTCATAAGAACACCATGACAAACGCATACATTGCCTTTTTCAGGTAAATTAGTGCAGCCCTCTGGAAAACAGTTTGTCTTTCCAGGTGACTGAAGCTGTGTCCTTTGGCCTTGATTGCCCTGTAGGTTTTTTGTCTTAGGGAGTGCAGAGCACGCGGAAGGAGCTGTGTGTCTCTTTAAGCAGCATTTAGGTGGTTTCCAGCCTGCTAAACAGTGGCGGACCCCCTTGATTGTGCGTGTCCTCGTTCGCAGTGGGAGATACAGGTATGTTTTCCATGGGATTCTGCTTCAGAAGCATTTTCACGAGCACTGACCCCCTCTTGCCCACCTACAGGAACAAGCACATCATGATCGACCTGGGCACTGGCAACAACAACAAGATCAACTGGGCCATGGAAGACAAGCAGGAGATGATCGACATCATCGAGACGGTGTACCGGGGGGCCCGGAAGGGCCGCGGCCTGGTCGTGTCCCCGAAGGACTACTCCACCAAGTACAGATACTGAGCCCCCGTCCAGTCCTGGTGCATGCAGTGCCATGGGGTCGTTCTCACGCAGAAACATTTTCAACTACTTAAAGCCTGTGAGAAAGCGTTTGGGAAAGTACACAGAGCTCAAGGAGCCGGAGGGTTCTGCAGTGAGGGTGGCATTGCCTCAACTTGCAGTCTGCCTGGTCCTTGTATTTTTGTATCAGCAAATATCTGTAAATATCTAGCTGAAATAAATAAAATACATGGTGATGGGGACAGTCGAAATCATTTCTTATGAAAAGTAGTGTATAGATTAGTGATTTTGGTAGTCAAGAATTAACTCTTCACTGTTGAGTGAGGTTCAGGTGTGGGTCCCATGGGGCTGCTGTGGTTTGCACACTTGTCAGTGAGAGTCTGTCTGAGTTTCCTGGGTCTCCTGTAATTAGGGACCTCAGACTGGTGACTCGACACAGTTCTGGAGGCTGGGGTCAGATCCACGTGTCGGCAGGGCTGGTCCTCCGGGGCCTGACGGGGAGTCTGTTCCTACCCCCTGCTGGCCCTGGTGGTTTCTGGCATCTTTGGGTCCCTTGGCTGGTGATGCCTCACCCCAGGCCCAGCATTCGCCTTCACGCGGTGTTCCCCCCGTGTGCGTGTCTGTGTGCAAGTGTCCCCACTGGGTGGGGGCCACCCTGCTCCAGCATGACCTCATCTCCACTAGTTACACCTGCAACAGCCCCGTCTCTAGAAAGGGCACATTCTGAGGTCCTGGGGTGAGGATTCCCAACATGTGAACTTGCAGGGGGCACAATTCGACCCACAGCAGAACCAAAGGCTTGAGTTCAGGAAAAGGGAAAAATCATCTTTTATTCTTCTGGTTATAAAAACAGTGCAATAATGATTTTTGGACTCCCTTTAAATATAAAAAGTAAGAGGTGTTTCTCATTCCTCCTAAGATTGTATCTAACGCACTTAAATGCATCGTATTTTCCACAGCAACCATGACCCTTGAGTCCGTGTAGCTAGTTTCCTTATCGCAATCTCAAGTTGCTCTCCCGAGTCTCTTACCCCAGCAGCGTGTTTGGTTGGGATCTTCACAGGCACATCTCAGGGCACACAGCCTCTGAGGTGAAAGAGGGGGCATACGGCGTGGAGGCAGCCCGGGGCCTGGGGGGACACACCCTGGAGCCCCTACCTGGTTTCACAGCCAGGCTCTGTCGTTACTGAGGACCTTGGGCGAGTGGCCCCCAGAGCTCCGTTTCCTCCCATGTGAAGGGGATGATGGTGTCTGCTGTCCGACCTGTGTTACACGCAGATCAATTAGAACAGGGCTGGTGGGCCCTCCGTGGTGTGAAAACACCCACTGCCTCGTCAGATTGACTCATTGTTGAAACATGAGGAGTACATACCAAAGAATGAAATTAACAAATACAAGAAAAGCTACACACTCACACGAAGGAGTGTACTTTTAAATGGATATAAAATTCAAATGTAAATCTGCAGTTTAATATCTCCAGCTTTAATTTTCCCATTTACAAAATAGTATAATACCATATCAAATGAAGTGCTAATGAAAAAAGTCAACGTGACCCCAAGTACCTGGCATATAAGAGACATTCAATAATATATTTCCGGGACTTCCCTGGTGGCACACTGCTTAAGAATCCACCTGCCAATGCAGGGGACACGGGTTCGAGCCCGGGTTCGAGCCCTGGTCCGGGAAGACCCCACGTGCCGCAGAGCAACTAAGCCCGTGCACCACAACTACTGAGCCTGTGCTCCAGAGCCCACGAGCCACAACTACTGAGCCTACGAGCCACAACTACTGAGCCTGCGCACCTGGAGCCCATGCTCTGCAACAAGAGAAGCCACCGCAACGAGAAGCCTGCGCACCACAACAGAGAGTAGCCCCTGCTCGCGGCAACTAGAGAAAGCCTGCACGCAGCAATGAAGACCCAACGCAGCCACAAATAAATAAATAAATTTATTTTAAAAAAATAATAATACACTTCCGACACTTACTCAAAACAAATACTGTAGCCAGTAATCACCTGAAAAGACGCTCACCGTCATTTCTGTGAATATACCAAAAATCATTGAATTGGATGCTTTAATTGGATGAATTGTATGGCATGTGAATTATATCTCATTGATAAAGCTTTATTAACTGTTAACAAAAAATAAGCAAGCAAAAAGGTTACACTTCACATTTGTAAACTTACTGTATATTTATTGTAAATTTAATTTATAAGTTGTAATAAGTTCATTCACATTTGACTTTAATAACTAACTTTTCCACTAGTGCTTTGTAACTGCAATATTGTTGAATTTATAATGATTTGGCCTCTTCATTCCAAGTTTATATCTTATTGTTATAAGCTTATCATTGTAATAATAAGCTTATATCTTATTACTATCTACCTCACCCTGAACCAAGTAACTTATAAGCCATTTTCTCAAATCCTTCCAAGCACCTGCCAGGTAGATAGTTTGCAGAGAAGGAAACTAAAGCATAGATTGCCCAAAGTTACAACTAGTCGCAGAGGACATGAATTCAAAACCTAGATCTGCAGGGTTACCAAACCTTACCTCACTGCTGTGCATATTGCTTTAATCAAATTGAAATTAACTAGTAGAGAAAGTATGCTGATACCCCTGGTTCTCTGGGCATCGAGTGACTTCTGTTTCCCGACCTTCCCAGGATGGCTTTTATGCAAAGTCCAGGAATTAGACATGGCAGCTGACACAGAGGCAACCAGCCTAGGAGGTACAGAATATATTCAGGAATATAGTAAGTTATCAGGTACACTAGAGAGACTGACATACACACAGCAGACATGCAAGAGTATTCACTGCAGCATCATTTGGAAACCAATGGCAAAGAGTCAAAGGACTATTACACTGAAGTTAGTTACGTTGTCTAGACCTATACATATCAACACAGGCAAATCTCAGACTGCTGAATGGAAAAGCCAGGTCCAGAGGACACTACGGCATAATGCCATTCATATAGTTTTAAGACACTGAAAACAAGATCTGAGACAGTAAGACAATCAGCAGCCTCCGTGTTTGCACTAGGCTGTTATGTAGGCGTCCAAGGGTCTGTGGGCTTGACTGCCCTATTCTGCCTGCGCCGAGTCCGGACGAGACGGGGAGCTTGGGGCACCAACAGAATCAAAGCATCTCCCATGTAAAACTACCCTAGAAAACCGCATCACCGATGATTCCAAAAACCACACTGAAAGTTTGCTTTCTCGGGTTGCTCAGTTAAAATGCAGGGTGTTCTTGTGACCTCCCCGGATTGCCTGGGAAAGTCTGAGGTCTTGAAAATCAGACCAGGACATTTTGGAAGACTTGCTTTAAGTGGGTATCATTTTGAATTGTTTTTCCTACATTGTTTTTATTAATGGCTTTTAAAATGCATCTGATCGTAGCATTCTTCTGTGGCGTTTTTACATTTATCATCAAAGGTTCTATAAGAAGAACCGCAGCTCCCCCAGGAGCTCAGCATCACCTCCCCTGCTCTCTGGGGGCCACATCACGCTAGTCTCCTCCAGTCATTGCTGTTGTCCCCAGCCCTCCCTCTGGTCTCCGGTTTTCTTGTTCAAAAAGTGGTCAAGTTTTCACACATCTCCATGGACAAAAAGATTGCAAAGTATTCTGAAACTCTCAAAATTCATTCATTAATTCAAAGAAAATGTTTGAATAGCATCTGGGCACCTGGGGTGAACAAAATCAATCGAGTTGCTGCCTTGTGGAGAAGACAATCAAATGATCACATAAAAGTAAAATTACAACTGTGATAGTCAGCAAGAGATCCCATAAAATTACTTCAGACCCGGACAGGCGCTCAAGGAAAGAATCTCTGAGGAAATTATTTTCAAGCTGAGATCAGATATAAAAAGTGCTAACTAGGCGCGCGCGCGCGCGCGTGTGTGTGTGTGTGTGTGTGTGTGTGTGTAACTCCATTCCAGAGGGGACCTCAGGAGCCAGTGGTGGGAGGGAGCGGGGCTCGTCTTGCAGGGAGAGTGTAGTGGGATGCGGGGTGGGGGAAAGGGGGGTGCTGGCAGCTGCGGAGGCTTTGCTTGGGGAAGGAGGTGTAAGGTGATGGAACTTCAGTTCTGAAAAGATCTTTCTTGCCCAAGCTTGGAGCGGCTGAAGGGAGATTTGGGGGGAGTTAAAAATCTATGGTAATAGATTGGGCAATTGTAAAAAAGGAAGTGAAATGTGAGAATTTAAAACTTCAGACAACTGCACCCAGAACTTCTGCCTTATAGATTCATCCCTTTATTATTAAGCTTTATGTTTTCATAAGTTTCATAACAGATACATGAATGCAGGATCTGATATTGAAGTAACTCCATTTTACTTAAGTATTCAATGAATACACTGCTTTCTACTAAAATGTTGTGTTAGTCCAATTTAGATTAGAATAAGAGTATTTAAGTACATGTAAATCCATCTGTTACTTTCCCTCTTTTCCTTATGAAAACATTCTCGTTTCTTTTAAATATATGTAACAGGGTGCTGGAAAAAAGCAATTCTTTATAAAAACATTAGGAAGATACAGAAACAGGTATGATATTATGAAATGCCAAATAATCTCTTTAAAGCTAGATGTCTGTGGTTTGAGTGAATAATTGAGATGTCAATCGGATGAGCCAATAAAAGGGGATCAGCCTGGGACTTTCTTTAGAAAGAAGTTAGCATATTTTTGACAATATCAATGTTTTTATTTTAGTTAATAACTAATAGAAGCTTTCTTTTCTACTTATTTAATTCCTTAAAAATCCTGGAATTTAAATTGTGTTCTATATTATTGATGAAGGCTCAAATCTGTTTAGTTTACTTTAATTCAAGTATTTGCCCCAGTTTCTACTAAAATTATAATTATGGCTAAGATGCTTTGAGATTTTTCACATAATCAAATGGAAATATCGTGATTTTAAACCACCAAGAATATTGAATTTAAATGATGCTATTTTAAAACTTTGGGTTTAAACTTTGGGTTTGCATCACTGTCGGGGGTGTGAAATGACCCTTCCTTTCTTTTCTTAGGTGCATTCTGCTCAATGTGCTTGGCCTGTGGTCATACTTCTGGCCCTAGTGAAATGTGCACAGAATTCGTGGATAACAGTGCTCATTAAAGCATTATTTATAATAGCAAGGAAGTGAGAAATAACCTCAAAGTCCAAGGAATAGTTAAGGGGATGGTTAAATTATTTCAACCACATAATAAAATATTAGTAACCATAAAAAGTGGGTATGAAACTTTCACCTGGGGTAAAGTGTTTACGATATGAGAACAGGATATTAGATTATAAACAATATGATCAGCTATATAAAAGTGCCTACATAGAAAAAAGTATTGACAGTGGTTAATTCTAAATTGTAGAATTGTGAGTGATTTTGACTTTTGTATAAAGAGTATGATTTATTTTATATGCAGGAATAATGTTATTCTTTACAATGAAAGCCTTTTTAGGTGATCATAGCTCTATTTGTACTTTGGCTCAGAGACAGGTGAATTGAACAATTGTTTGAAAGCATCTCTAACTGACAAAGTAAACTTAGGTGCAATCTTTGTGCATCTCCTTGGTAACTACCTCTATGGGGGCTGGAGCGGGTGAGGGTGTCCCAGGAAGCAATCATGGGGCTCCTGCATCACCTGTTTCTTTGGCTGTCCTTTGATTGGTTTCCTTTGGTTTGGAGAACATACTGTTAGAATTTGCTTGGACTGGGCAGATTAAACCAAGTCTTCCCCAAAACTGTGACTGGAATTATTGAATTGGAATGCAGTTATTAAAAAAGCAACTTCTGGGATTTCCCTGGCAGTCCAGTGGTTAAGACTCTGCACTTCCAATACAGAGGGTGTGGGTTCGATCCCTGGTTGGGGAACTAAGATCCCACATGCTGCAGTGGCCAAAAAAAAGCAACTTCTATCAGAAAACTGCTTGTGGTATTTTAAAGAAGGATCTATATAGAACTTAATTCTGGAAAAAAAATTACCTAATATAAGTCGTGCTTTTCCTCCATGATTTACAAATATTAGGTGTGCATTGAAAAGTGTTCTGCCATTTTACAACCATCTTTGTTAAGTGGTTAATCACCTTCTTAATTACATTCTTACTGCATTGCCTTTGTTCTTTTAATCCTTTCTTTTACTAAAATGAATTCTTAAATTAAATACTAAAAATAAGAACTCGTGTTATGTAGATTATTACTCAAAAAGTAGTTTTCACTCTTTCACATTTTCAAATGACTGGTCTACTGTCTTCAAGTCTGTAAGAAAAAAGTTGAATGAAGTAACAATTGATTTATATATCAATTAATGTACAGTTACGTAAACCGGAATCCAAAGCTATCAATAAAATTAGCTTACTTTCCCGTAATTACTAGAACAGTTTTGTACAGGAAAAATTCGGAATATAGAAAACCCTAAATGTTAAATGATGTTCATTTTAGTCAGATGGAGTCTGTGTGGATTCACAGCTTAAGGGGTGTGCTCTTCAAGTGACAAAGCATCACTTTGCATCAACAGTGTGGAGAGGTTCTCCTCAGACAACAGCGTGCCTGCTTCCTCACAGCAGGAAAAGGGTTCAGATGTCGGGGCGGCGGGCCAAATCCGCTGGAATACGGAACAGTAGCTCCTACCATCTGGGGGTCATGGACTCCCCACCCCACAGCAGGAACACAGCAAGTTTAGGGGGTTTGCCGAATCCCCTGAAATCCGCAGCACTGTGCTAGGAATCCTTGACCCAGCAAGACCAACAAGCACAGATTTAGCCAAACAGATTTAGACTCACTCAGGTCCTTCTTTTAATTTAAGAGGCATTATCAGCTTTTAAACGCACTTTTAGATATCTGACCTTCTCTCATGCTGCTTTAAATAATGGCTGTACGTGCATCAAAAAAGTGAAGTTTTGGGGCTTCCCTGGTGGCGCGGTGGTTGAGACTCTGCCTGCCGATGCAGGGGCACGACCCGGTCCGGGAAGATCCCACATGCCGCGGAACGGCTGGGCCCATGAGCCATGGCCGCTGAGCCTGCGCGTCCGGAGCCTGTGCTCCGCAACGGGAGAGGCCACAACAGTGAGAGGCCCGCATACCACAAAAAAAAAAAAAAAAAAAAAAAAAGAAGCAGACTCACAGATATAGAGAACAAATTAGTGGTTACCATTGGGGAGAGGGAAGGGGGAGAGGCAACTAGGGGTAGGGGATTAAGAGGTACAAACCATTATGTATAAAATAAGCTACAAGGATACATTGTACAACATGGGTAATACAGCCAATATTTTCTAATAACTATAAATGGAGTATAACATTTAAAATTTGTGAATCACTACATTGTACACCTATAACTTATATACTATTGTACGTCAACTACAATAAAACCTTCAATTAAAAAATAAAACTAAGACTAAAAATAAAATAGTAAAAGAAAAAAGATGAAATGCAAAATTCCACTGGAAAAGAAATATTTGCATTCTGGGGGGTGGGGTGGGATCCTCAGGAACCACTCATGAAATGGGGTGAGAACCTAATGCACATGTGTCTTCTTTAAATCCTTCCATGAACGTCTCAAACAGAAGCCACTAGTTGTCATCCCCAAGCACTCATTCATCATGACTTGTGTTTTGATTGAAAACTAATTTGAGGGATGAGGGTGAAAAGTACTTTAACAAAATCCAATTTTTAAATAATAGTTTTCCTTTAAAATGTGCACTTTTTAAGGAACAATGACAAAGAGTGTTTCTGTTCTATTTAGAAAAGAGCATTTGTGAATTTTTTTTATTATTCCTGAAGGTTTTTCATGTAGTGCAGAAGCAGTAGTTCCCTTAGTGAACAAATATGGGCTTAAATGTTTCAAGATGAAAGCAGAAGATATGTAAACGGTGAACACCTTAGTGCCTTAATAAGGCCTCGCCATTTTCTCCTGAGCGGAACTTTCAATCCCAGCTTGCACCATCAAGTCGTTCACATTCTTCTGCAAGTCTTCAATGCGACCTCCCATTTCTTCCAGTACGAGGTTAAGGAGAACAGCACATGGAACACGGGCACCTACCCAGGTCCCTCAAAGCCTCCATGTAAACTGCATCACCAGGGCTGATAAAAATGCCCTGTGGTGCATCTAAAATGAGGGAATCAAAGGCAGCGGATGTGTACTAACACCTTAAGTCAGTGCACATTAATCACATCCCTGAGGGTCTGTACGTGCCTTTAATCTTTGCACTGTGAGCCCGGTTCTGAAACCTTGGCTCCCTTTCTGTGGACATGGATTCGGGGAGATGAGGTTGTCTGGTATGTTTATGTTTTAATCAAACTCTAATCAGTATGTAAATACAATGAAAATTAACTGTGTTTAAAACAAACTTTGCTACTGTTTAATTTTATCCTGTTTCAGAATCTCTTTTTCCCTGTGGGAGCCCCTCTACAGGATCTCTCTGCAAACAATTTGCACACATTTTAAGACAGGAGTTTAATTGTGTGAAGTGAGTTCACTTGGGCAAGTCTTAGGGCAAGTGTCCCCTTTTCTGGATTTTCTTAAACCGGAAACAAACATTCCACCTAACTCTGTTTGAATCCATGGCTTACCAAACGGCGAGCTGCTGAAGTTACAAAACAAAACAAGGCAAGGAGAGCCACACAGCGTACCCTGCGCTGGAGACCTAACCAGTACCTGTGCAGGGTTGACTGTTTGGGGGGGCATAAATGCTATTTAGCAGACTAACCAGATTTCTTTAGGGCTTGCTGGGAAGCCCCACTGGGGAGTATGTATTGTTCGTGTGTCCTTGTGTTTTATCCTTGCCTCATGAAATGCCCCGTATTGCTGGTCAAGCAGGAAGTAATTACCTGCGAGCGGTAATTAATACATCAGGATGCCATGTAAAGGCGCAGACGTAAACACCAGGAAGTCTTAGGTCAACAATTATCCACTAATACAGAAAACAACAAGATAGTCCACGACAGTTCAATAGTCCAAAAGCAACTGCAGTATTTGTTATGAGACAGAAAAGGATATTTCTCAGGTTTAACGTTGCAGTCAGAGCTTGAAAGTGTTCTTGAAGTTCCTGAAATAGATTTTCTGCCTGAAAAATGAACCACAAGTGAATATATATTTACCCGTGATGCAGAGCATTCTAAGCACCATGGAAGAGGACCATCTATATATACAATTAGTTGGTTCCTGACAAGGTGTTAAGGCCTTCCCACTCAAAGGGTAAGGAAGGTCTATTCAACCAACAGCACTGGAACAGTGCTAGCCAAATGCGTAACTCACTAAATAAGCAGGCCCGACCTTTACCTCACACCATTCACAACAATTAACTCAAAATGATCATACACTTAAATATACGATAAACTATCAGACATCTAGAAGATGACGTAGGAGAAAGTCTATTAACCTTGGGCTCCTCAAAGACTTCTTGAGAAGGCCTGAGACAATCACCAGACACACCCACCGTGGGCCTCTTGCCTCGCCCACACTTGTGGGTATTTATTAGCTGGGATTGGGGTTGCAGAAACTGTTTACCAGGCCATACGGATATATCATCTACGGTGACTGACAGCAGGCGGTATCGTAAGTCGCCTTACAGTTTACAGATTTAAATCTCATACCATTTACGACACAGTTCACTCCTGGCACCCGTGTATTATCTCCATTTTAGAGCCCAGGATATGGAGGCGGATCTCCACCTGAAGCCTGCGTTTACGTATGAAGAAGGCCCTCTGTCAGGAGCTCTTCCCTTCAATCATGTCAGGAAAACGTGGATTCGAGTGTGCACAGCTAACCAATTCTTTTTAACGAGGCAAACTGATCAGTCCTGACCACTGGTTGTCTCCTCTCCGGCGCTGCGGCTCCTTCAGCGAACGGGAAGCAGGACCGCTGGCCTCCCAGCGCTGGGCGGGGTGGGAGGTGGGGAGGGGAGGGAAGGGAGGGGAGGGAGGCGGAGGGAAGGAGGAGGGGAGGGGAGGAGGAGGGGGGAGGGGAGGGAGGTAGGGGAGGGGAGGGTGTCCAGCCCGGGAGCGAAGCTTGGCGCGCGCGGGGTCCGACTCACCGCGTCCCGCAGCGCGCGCCCGCTGGGGGCTTCGGGGCCTCGCGCGGCCATGGGGGTGTCCCCCGGGTCCGGGGTGCGGGGTGTCCAGGTGGGTCGGCTGGTCCCGGGGCCGGTGGCTCTGTCGGCTCCGCTCCGCCGCCCGCGGCTCCCGCGGCGATGGCCGTGGATCCACCCGCGCGGCCCGGGCTGTGCGCCCGAACCGGGCCGAGCAGCCGGGCACGGAGGTGAGGCCGTAGCGGGGCGCAGGTGGCCGTCCGGGCGGGGCGGGACCTCGCCGGACCAGCCGATCCCAGCTACGCTGTTGGCTTCGTTTTCATTGCGTCAGAGCCCAGAGTGAGCACGACCTTTCATTATCATTGTGGCAAAGAACACACAACCTACAAGTTGCCGTTCTCGCTGTTCTTCAGGGCGCAGTGCGGTGGCGTTAGGTACGTTCACACTGTTGTGCAAACCACCCCCTGCCCCCCCCCGCTCCCCCCGCGACTTCCTAACCTTCCCACACCAAGCTCTGCATCCAGGAGACACCGGCTCCCCAGCCTCACCAGCCCCCAGCACTCGCCCTTCCCCTGTGTCCCGTCGTGTTTTTGCAAGGCTGTCACCCGTCTAATGGGGGATCCTGGAGGCAGGGGTGGGGATGGAATGTGGCTGCAGTCACCACACAGCCCAAGTTCGCACCGCGGTCTTGGGACCTGTGACCATCCATCTAGGAGGCTCGGCCATCTCTCCGGACCCCTGCCATGTCTGCTGTCAACTTTAAGATTAAGAATATTTATGCTCTGGGACTCCCCTGACGGTCCAGTGGTTAGGACTCCAAGCTCTCACTGCCAAAGGCCCAGGTTCAGTCCCCAGTTGGGGGAATTCAGATCCCACAAGCAACACGCTGCAGGGTTAAAAAAAAAAAAAGAATAGTTATGTTCTGTGACCAACTCCAACAGGATGCCAACACTCGCATCTCTGCTCTGATTTTATCGAAGATCTGGAAGGAAGGCCTCACTGTGACTTTCCCTCCCTCAGATGCCCTTTAGGCCTGTCTGGATTGTGGCTCATGGGGCACTTTATGAGTGATGTCCCAGGACCCTGTTCTCAGCAAGTACCTGCTTTGTTTACATGTCTGTACCCCTCTGTGGGGCAGGGCTGTGTCTGTCTGGGTCCTGCCAACATCCCGGGAGCCCAGCCAAGTGACTACGTGGGGACACCTGGTTGCTGAATGTGTGTGAAACACAGCCTTGCATGCAGAGAAACCCAACATCCTTAGTCATCATGAGAATGCAAATGAAAACCGCCACAAGATCCACTTCACATGCACTGTGATGGCTAAAATCAAAAGGGACAATAACAAGTGTGGACGAGGGTGTGGCAAAGTCCGAACGTCACACGCTGGTGGGAATGTAAAGTCGTGCAGCTAGTCTGGCAGGTCCATAAAAACTTAAACATAGAGTTACCATAGAATCTCAGTTCTACCTCTAGGTATGTACCCAAGGGAAATGACAGCATATGTCCACACAAAAACATGTACACAAATGTCTATAGCAGCATTATTAACACTAGTCAAAAGGTAGAAACAACCCAAATGTCCATCAACAGACGAATGGATAAACAAAATGTGGTCCCTCCCCTCGATGGAATATAATTCAGGCATAAGAAGGAATGAAGCCCTGACACATGACACAACATGGATGAACCTTGGGAACATGATGCTCAGTGAGAGAAGCCAATCACAAGAGGACACGTGGTTGGATTCCACTCATGTGATGTGTCCAGATTGGCAAATCCATGGAGACAGGAAGTTGAGGGGGAAGGGGAGAGACTGTGCCATAGTTAAGGGGTTTCTTCTTGGGGGCAAAAATATTGTAAGATCAAATCGTGGGGGGACTTCCTTGGTGGTCCAGTGGGTAAGACTGCGCTTCCACTGCAGGAGGCCCAGGTTCGATCCCTGGTTGGGGAACTAGATCCCGTATGCTGCAACTAAGAAGTCTGCGTGCCGCAACTAAAGATCCCACGTGCCACAATTAAGACCTGGCTCAGCCAAAATAAATAAATAAATAAATACTTAAGGTCAAATCGTGGCGACGGTTGCACAACCCTGTGAATATATTAAAAATCATTGAATTGGGGCTTCCCTGGTGGCGCAGTGATTGAGAGTCCGCCTGCCGATGCAGGGGACACGGGTTCGTGCCCTGGCCCGGGAAGATCCCACATGCCGCGGAGCGGCTGGGCCCGTGAGCCGTGGCCGCTGAGCCTGCGCGTCCGGAGCCTGTGCTCCGCAACGGGAGAGGCCACCACAGTGAGAGGCCCGCGTACCGCGAAAACAAACAAACAAACAAACAAATCATTGAATTGTATACTGTAAATGGGTGGATTGTATCGCAAATATACGTGAATTACATCTCAATAGGGTTGTTAAAGTTGTAACTTTTTTATTGAAGTATAGCTGAAGTATACAATATCGCGTTAGTTTTCGGGTGTACAGCAAAAGGCTTCAGATATCTACCTCTATCTCTGTCCTAGATCTAGATCTATATTCAGATTCTTTTCCATTATAGGTTATTCAAGATACTGAATATAGTTCCCTGTGTTATGCAGTGAATCCTTGTTGCTTATCTGTTTTATGTATTGTTGTGTGTATCCGTTAATCCCGTACTCCTAATTTATCCTTCCTTCCCTTTCCCCTTTGGTAATCATAATTTTGTATTATATGTCTGAGTCTGTTTCTGTTTTGTATATACATTCATTTGTATTATTTTTTAGATTCCACATATAAGTGATGGCATATAATATTTGTCTTTCTCTGACTTACTTCACTTAGTATAATAATCTCTAGCTCCAACCATGTTGCTGCAAATGGCAATATTTCATACTTTTTATGGCTGAGTATCTATACCTCTGTATACCTATGTCTCTCTATACAGATCTCACATTTTCTTAAACCAGTCATCTGTTGATGGACACTTAGGTTGTTTCCATGTCTTGGCTATTGTAAATAGTGCTGTTATGAACATGGGTGTGCCTGTATCTTTACAAATTAGAGTTTTCATCCTTTCTGGATATATGCCCAGGAGTGGGATTGTTGGATCTATTTTCAGGTTTTTTTTTTAAGGAACCTCCATACTGTTTATCATAGTGGCTGGCTGCACTCATTTACATTCCCGCCAACAGTGTAGGAGGGTTCCCTTTTCTCCACACCTTCTCCAGCATTTATTATTTGTAGACAGTGTGAGGTGATAACTCATTGTGGTTTTGATTTGCATTTCTCTAATAATTAACGATGTAGAGCATCTTTTCATGTGTCTGTTGGCCATCTGCATGTCTTCTTTGGAGAAATACAATAACTTTTCAAAAGCATGGCCGTCTTGCCACTTTTCTGTGTGGCAAGATGCTAAAAAGAGCTGTGAGGGCTGCCCCTTCCCTGGAGGGGCCTCTCTGTGTGGCCACCGCCTGGCCTGAGGTTCTTTCAGTTCAAGCTTCCAGAACAGCTTGACCAGGGCGACTAGCATCAGGTGTGCACAGCGAGCCACTGGGGAGGTGGATTCACCTGTGGAAACAAAGCCCTAGGCCCTCGCCCAGAGTGGGTGGAGGTAGGGGTGGGTGACAAGGGTCTCCCCAGGTGGATCTGGCGGAGACGGCCCAGGTCCACCCTCGGGGAGGCACAGCCTCGGGAACGCCTGAGGCTGAAGCCTGGCGGGCTCCCTAAGAGCGGGAATCAGGATGCTGCAGCAATTCCTCAAGAAATCAAACATACAGTTACCATATGAATCAATTCCACTTCTGGGTATAAACCCCAAAGAAGTGAAAACAGGGACTTGAACAAATATTAGTACACCATGTTTATAGCAGCATCATTCACAATAGCCAAAAGGAGGAAGCAACCCGTGTCTATCGATGGATGAGTGAATGGATAAATAAAATAATATATATATATTTTTTAAAAGGAAGAAAATTCTGACACATGCTACAAAATGGATGAGCCTTGAGGAATTATGCTGAGTGAAAGAAGCTGATCATAAAAGGGATCAATTTTGTATGATTCCACTTATATGAGGTCCCCAGAGCAGTCAAATCCATAGAGATAGAAAGTAGACGGTGGGTGCCAGGGGCTGGGGAGAGGGGGATAATGCATTAGTGTTTAGTGAGTGCAGAGTTTCAGTTTGGAAAGATGAAAAATTCTGAAGACGGATGGTGGTGATGGCTGCACAACAATTATGAATGTACTTAATGCCAGCGAACTGTACACTTAAAAATGGTTAAAATTACACCTGAAACTAACACAATGTTGCAAATCAACTGTACTTCAATAAAAAACAATAAAGATGATAAATTTGATGTTATGTATATTCTACCACAATATACATATATTTTAAGTACATCACCCCAGCTTCAAACCCTAGGCTAAGAATTCCAGGAGCTAGGAAACCTGTGACTCTCTTTCCCTACCCCTTTGTGTTTTTTAGTATGTGTCTATCATTCTCAACTGTAATCTCTGTGGTCCAGTGGAAGCCTACTAGACATTCTCTGATAACCCTGAGAACCTAATCTCTAATGGAGAAATAGAATCTGTCATTCTACATCTAGCACCTGAATGGTTTTTCACCTATGCTGCCTAATTAGGGATCAAATTCTTAGTTCTGCATCCGTGGGGGACAAAATCATTAATATGGAAGCAAGAATCACTCAACAAAAATTCATTTTGTTAAGGATATTAAATTTCAGGAACTAGGTTCAGGGGAAAAATTCTCGAATGCAATTCATCTTGCAAATCTACAATAGGAGAGTATTCAAGTGTGCTGTGGAGCTGCAGAAATTAGATGATGTTTTTAATGGTGCAAAGATAGTTTGGGGAGGAAAATAGAGTCTAGGTAAGAAGTACATAATGGAATCAAAGACACAGACCACAAGAGCAGCAGCTAAATATGAAACAAAACTTTAAATTAGAAAAGTAAAATTTTAACTTTGATAGATGAGATTATAGGGTGACCGAATGTAAGAGGAAGTTCTATCCTGTGAGGCGTGAATGCCAGTGGAAGCGCCCAGATGCTCCTTTGATTCCATGTGAATGGCTTCATTTCTAAGGCCTTAAACCTAAGACGCTGCTGATTTTAAGATGCACCATTATTGCCAAGAAAGGGAGGAATGCTGCTGATTAGACGGTGCTGTTTTTTATTTTATATTCATTAAAAGAGCTTTTTTATAGTTATTGGTGCTGGGTGATGGATACATGGAATTCACTGTGCTACAATCTCTACTTTTGTGTATGTTTGAAATTCTCACTTAAAAATTCTGTAAGCAAAGAAGGGTTCTTTCAGGGTACTGATTTGGACAGACAGATTTGAGCATAGAATTTTTTGCTTCCTTTTATTGATTCTAAAATTGTTGCAATGTTTTCATAATTTTAACTTTTTTGTGTTTATTTTATTTTTTTTTGCCGTACGCGGGTCTCTCACTGTTGTGGCCTCTCCCGTTGCGGAGCACAGGCTCCAGACGCGCAGGCTCAGCGGCCATGGCTCACGGGCCCAGCCACTCCGCGGCATGTGGGATCTTCCCGGACAGGGGCACGAACCCGTGTCCCCTGCATCGGCAGGCAGACTCTCAACCACTGCACCACCAGGGAAGCCCTTAACTTTTATTTTTAATGCAACATAATTAACTATTTTTTTAACGCACTATTTATTATGCAATTCTGGCCCCATTTACAGTAAGTTGCCTTTCCCAGAAGCAATTATCCTGAGTCATGAGGACTTCCGGTACTAGTTGTGAATTTTAAAACAGTGGCTCTCAGACCTGGCTGCACGATAGAGCCACGTAACATTTGTCAGCACTCTGGACGCCTTGGCATTTGTGGTTTTAAAGCCCTCCAGGGGTTTTGGTGTGTGAACAAGCGGTCAA